GCATGGAGGACATTAGGAGAAGGAAGGGAAAAATGGGGGGGTAGAATTGGAGGGAGAGATGAACCATGAGAGACTATGGACTCTGAGAAACAAACTGAGGGTTTTAGAGGGGAGGGGGGAAGGAGGATTGGTTAGTCCAGTGATGGGTATTAAGGAGGGCACGTACTACATGGAGCACTGGGTGTTACACGAAAACAATGGATCATGGATTATCACATCAAAAACCAATGATGTATTGTATGGTGACTAACAAAACATAATAAAATAAAAAACACACACAAAAAAAATTAAAAAAAAAAAGAAAAGGGAATCCTTGTGCACTGTTGGTGGGAATGTAAATTGGCTCAGCCACTATGGAAAACAGTAAGGAGATTCCTCAGAAATTAAAAATAGAACCACCAGCAATCCCACTTCTGGGTCTGTATCCAAAGGAAATGAAAACAGAATATTGAAAAGATATCTGCATTCCTATGTTATTGCTGCATTATTCACAATAGCCAAAATAATGGAAACAACCTAAGTGTCCATTAACAGATGAATGGATGAAGATGTGGTATGTATATACACAATGTACACAACATATACAAATACACACACACACACACAATGGAAAATTATTCAGCCACGAGAAAGAAGGAAATCCTGCCATTTGTGACAACATGGATGGATCTTGAGGACATTATGCTAAGTGAAATAAGTCACAAAAAGACAAATACTGCATGATTTCACTTAAATGATGTACCTACAGTAGTCAAACTCTTTGAAACAGAAATTAGAATGGTGGTTGCCAGGGGCTGGGGGTGAGGGAAAAGGGGCAGTTGCTGTTCAATGGGTATAGACTTTCAGTCTTTCAAGATGAAAGTTCTAGAGATCTGTTGCACAATAATGTGATTATAGTTAACCCTACTGAACTATACACTGAAAAATGATTAAGATGGTAAATTTTAGGTTATATGCTTTTTAAAAAATTAAGAACCCGGGGCACCTGGGTGGCTCAGTCATTAAGTGTCTGCCTTTGGCTCATGTCATGATCCCAAGGTCCTGGGTTCGAGCCCCACATCAGGCTTCCTGCTCAGTGGGAAGCCTGCTTTTCCCTCTCCCACTCTCCCTACTTGTGTTCCCTCTCTCGCTGTGTCTCTCTCTGTCAAAATAAATAAGTAAAATCTTAAAAAAATTAAGAACCCTATTAATACAACCTCCAGTTTTTAAAAGTTATTTAAGTTCATATTTTAACTTTATTTTGGATAATAAACTTTGTTTGGGTTCAGTTCAAGAAAGCCTTCTAAACAAGGTCTCTGAATAGCAGGTAAACTAAAGATGAGTGTCTCTTGAACAAGTGACACACAGAGGAGATGGGGACAAGTCATCACTCACTGGGACAGCTGGCGGATCTCATAGCCAGACTGGATATTGGAGATGCCAGCAATTACCATAGCAGAAACCATCAGCCTGGGCTTGTTGATCTGCTTGGACTCCTGTTCATAAGCTTCACATGTTTCCTATACACAAGTAGGAGAAAGTCTATGAATATCAACTCTGAGTGGATTTCCATGACAACTCTTTGAATTAAATCAGTCTTTCCCATTTTTCATTCTTCAGCATCCTCACTGGAATAGGGTCCTTCATCTCCAACTGAGATTGTAAGAAGCTAGGTTTTCTGTACAGCCTCAGTGATTTTTCACAGGAGACTGGTTGTAGACTTTCCAGTCAAAATGATATGGAACACGGCTCAGCTGCACCAGGATCATGGAGAGATGCTTGTCCTGAAGAGGGCTCCCCCGAGAGCCAGAGTACTCCTAGTCAAAGTCCAGCCCGTTAAACTCAGACTGAAGCAGGAATTTGATGACTGAGGCAGTGGAGGTCTGGCGGTTCTCAGAAGTGGCAACCATGGCAGTGAATTTGAGGGAAACCCAAAGAAGGCAAGGTGAGGGAACTCCTTGGTGGTCCCAACACCTTGTAGTAAAGCCAGCGTAGGAAGTCATCTCAAAAAACAGTTCTAAAGTTCTAGCCACCAAAAGCCAGAAGAGTTTTCAGTTGACTGTTTCTGAGGGAAAAAAGCAAAGATTTGTTGGTCAGAACAAACGGAAAGATCATTCATTTCAACATTAGCTGTTACCAGGATTGAGAAGCCAGGAGAAGTCTGATGCAGCCTCTCATACTGGTTTTCTTCATTCTCATCATTATTCCTAAATTGTAAAAGTGGATGGAGTAGGTGGCCTGAGGCTGGTATGTTTCAGTGTCTCTTCAGTTCTAATTACTCCCCTTGGAGTGAAGCCCCTGACTAAGGACACAGAGTGTTTCATCTGTGCCAGCTTTAGGTGGCTTCCAAGCGGAAGATTGTTTTCCTCTGAGTCCACAATACTTGGACTTCACTAAATTTCCTTGACAACTGAGCTGGACTTTAATTGTGAACCACCTCTTGTGAGCCAGCCATTCCTCTTAATGTTAGAGTCACCACTGCACTGGAAATAAGAAAGCTTGGAACTTAACTGTGTGCTGCTTGTTGACCTATTTGGAATTGCAGCCTAGAGGCTGCTCTGGAAAGTTTTGCTCAAACTGCTCTTGAAGGTTAAAAGATTTTGATCCTTGATCTTTTATTATTTACTAGTTTTCAGGTCATTGAAAGCTTGGTGGAGTTGCACAATGTATTCACAGATAGTGATCTCATCCCACATCTCAGCAAAGGCGTAGATCAGGTGAGTACAGAGGCAGGGGTCGATACCCACAGTCTTGAAATGCCCCAGGCCTGGCCGGTACTGGGCCTCGTTGGTGAAATAGTGTCAGCTGGTAGGCAGAACCTATTATCCGAAGGGTGAGAAACTATTGCATAAAAAGCTCCCCGGAGAGTCATAGGTAGCTTCAGAAACCACAGATTCCCAGGGAGCTTTACTGTTTAAGTCTCAAAGGGAGGGTGAGGATCTGCATGAGAACCTTGTGTATTGCAGCAAATCCATAATTAGCAGGCAGTTCAGGAAGATATCTCTTAGAGGTATCTCTGTCCCTCCAAGAAAGAATTAAAGAACCTTAGAAATCAGTGCCTTAAGCCTGAAATGAAATCTTATAGCTAGTAAACTTGGATTTAAATGTATTCTAACCTCTTCTACATGCTAATAATAGCAATTACTAATGCTTACCCAGCACTTGTTATACACCAAGCACTGTTCTGAGTAATTTACTTAAATTCACTCATTAATACTCACCAATACCCTATGATGTAAATCCTATTATTACTTCCATTTTATTCATTTGGAAACTAAAACACAGAAAGGGTAATGGTAGAAGTCTATTTAGCACTTAAACATTTCTCCCTGAGTAATAATTTCACCCAGGGGAGATAAATGACCCACTAGCAGTCAAGAGTCCTGGCTTCTGGGTTGGATTCTGCTATGAACTCTCAATATTTCCTAGGACAAGTCATATAACTCATCTCTGCCTTAGCTAATTGGTCTGTGAGATGGGGTATTAATGCTTTTCCTGTCCACCTCTCAGAGAAGGGTTGTTTCAAAGATCCAGTAAGATGAAGATTTGAAAATGCTTTAACAGAGCCAAAGATACCATGTGCATGACTTCTCCATATTATTTTTTATTGTTAACATTCATTTTTAAGACCACTGTCAGTTGGTTTCAGTTTGGGATTTTTAGGTCCATGATCCCAATCCTGTAAATTTGGTTAGGGAATTTCAATCTGTCTAAAAAAATTAATGTTCTGTGTTTGAAGTAGAAGGACAAAGGGCCATGCCTCATTTCCAAATTATGAAGACAAAAACAAACAATATGGTGACCCATCCCAAAAATGAGTACCTATGCCAGCTGCAAGCACAAGAAGCAGATCTTAAAGTGACAGAGACAATAATGAGCTAGAGGAAGAGCATCCTTTGTAAACTCGTGCTTCACTTGTAGTAAGAAACTTTTCCTGTTTTACTCTTTGAGTCTTTTTAATACTCTCTTTAGACTCCCAACCTACTGAGGCTGATAAACTTCAGGGTTTCTCCTGGAATCCCACTCTCCTTTGCTCCCACTCACAAGACCATTAAGGTGCCATAACCTTGAGGCTTGTGAAGGGAGGGAGACTGCAGGGTTGTCCTCTATCACTGGGTAAGGGACTATGTCCCTGTACTTTTGCCAGAGGTGATCATCTCGGGCATTTTGTTTGAAAGTTTTAAAGAGGGGAAAAAAAAAACCAAGAGGGAGAGAGTGGCTCACAGGCACAGAGTTGTGGTAGTTCTTCCCAGTGAGGAGGGTGAGGTTGGACATCTTGCCTCAGGGGTAGAGACTACCTCATTCATCCAACCTGCCTTTTAGACTCTCCTTCTCCTCTCTTATGATTATCAGATTCTTCTTTATTGTGATTGCCTCTAAAGTAAATTGATCTTGGTAGTGCTTACAAAGCTCAAACCCATTTAAGAACCCATTATTGGCTGGGAAACCATACCATCAAGATTGGGCCTGAGCCCAGGAACCACACCTTTAAGCTCCATTACTGAGTAGCTTACATAATTCAAAATGGTTTATGTAGTGGGCTATACTCTGTTTGGATAGTGAAGCAACTAATGGACTATTTCACACTTTCTTTGACAGGCAGAAGCATTGACTAAATTTGTATTCATTCATTGTTTGCTGTCATCATTTGCATTCTTTCATTGTAAGAAGAAAGGTCCCTCCTTAAGCAAAGGCATAGAGGGGTGTAACCTACTCTGTTTGCCCCCAAATTCATTACCTACTTTCCTCCTATTTATTTGCCTGTTCCTGTTCTTCCCACTTTGTCTGAGACTTTTTTTTTTTTTTTTGTCTGAGACTTCTATCACTGAAGTGGTCCTAGCTTGGTTCCTCTCTGCTCACACTCCATCCCACAGTCTTGGCTGCCCCCAGCAGAGCATACCTGGCCACCAGACCCTGAATCTAACAGATGACACTTCTCAGGTGGTTATTTCCCCTAGGCCAGCAGTCTTCCCATCATTCACATTTCTGTAAGTGGTTCCAAATTTCTCCTGGTCACTGAGGCTCTCACCACAATAATCTTTTTGACTCATCCCTTTCCTCTACTCTCCACAACCCATTGTTCACTGAGATATAGTGCTCTTCCCCTTTGGTGCCAGAGTGCCTCCTCTTCTCAGGACCCTCCATTCCACTTTCCACCACCACTGCTCTCAGAGCTTATCATCTGTGACAGTGTACTGTAGCCTCATATTTCCTCATTTCCTTTTTTTTTTTTTGTTAACATATAATGTATTATTTGTTTCAGGGGTATAGGTCTGTGATTCATCAGTCTTACACAATTCACAGCACTCACCATAGCACATACCCTCCCTAATGTCCATCACCCAGCCACCCCATCCCTCCCACCCCCACCCCTCCAGCAACCCTCAGTCTGTTTCCTGAGATTAAGAGTCTCTTATGTCCTCATTTCCTTTTAAATCTAGTCGATATATAACCCCAAGGCCCTGGTGGTGGTGGTGGTAGGGACTTTAATGACTCCCCATTGTCACATAGAAACAGTCCTTTCTCCTTCATCAATCATCAAGACTCTCCACAATCTAGCCTCAACTTACCTTTCTAGCCTTGCCTCCTGCTATGTCCTCAGTATAAATCTTGCATATTACATAATACCATTCTATATGACCCAAACCAGTCTCATCTTCATGTTTTTGCTGAAACCATTCCCTCTGTCTAGAATATAGAATAAATTCCTCCTGTACCCAACTCCCACTACCATCTCCCAAATGCTTTCTACCATGACACCTTCCCCGATCATCATCCCTGGAAGTGATTACCTTCTTCATCTCTGCATTTCTGGCATTTTGTTCTACCACTCAGATAACTCATTGCTTATTTTTATAGACCATTTGTAGGGAAGAAGTGTGTAATTAGTGGAAGGGCCATGCTGATTGAGGTTCAAATCCTTTCTGCTACTTCATAGGTATGGGAAATTGGGAAAGTTTCTTAATTTCAGTTTCTTAATTTGTAAAAGTAGTATGCAAATGCCTACTTTGCAAGGCAGTTCTAAGCATTAAACAAAATATATGTAAAAAATCAAGGGCATTATAAGCACTCCACAAAATGATAATTTTAATTATAGAATACTGCACATGTGCCTTATCCCCCCTCTGCTTAAGAACACTAATCAAACCAATGTTGATTCTCATATTACACCTAAATTCTATTTCCTGTGCAAAATATGCTCCCAAATAAACATTGAACAGTAAATGAATTAATTTTAATAGGAGTAACTATTGTGAGTATTTTATATACAAGAAACAGGCTAGTACAAGGGCATCTTTTTGGGCAGGGATATTCTGATCTCTTTCAAGTCACACCTTGTAGAAAACTGTCTGGATACACTGTCTACCTTAGTGCAAGCACTAGGAATTACAAGATGAATTTCAGTTGAGTCTTACAGTCTGAGAAGGGCTGCCATAAAACATGTAGCCATAAAAGTGAGGCACTGAGGTAGTGTGTACATCAGGTACACCTGGAGGAAAGGTAAGTGTGGTTTCTCTCATATTGTACTCCAGCTCTCCTAGCTCACCATTGTTCTGTCCTGTGTTTCTCTAGCTGTGTTGCAGAGTGTTCAAAATGTTCCTCTCACTTAAAAGTAAAATGGGTGAGCTAGGGAGCACTAGTAGTATAGCATATGGAGAGCTTTGCCGTGAGTCTGGACTTAGTCCTACCTCTGATTTATTTGGTGTTCTCAATCTGTTTAATGGCATTGAGGTCCTGACCCTCTAAGATCTTATGGCTCTCAGGTGAGTTCAAGAAAGTTACAATCATTTGTGCTAGTTCATTAGTGGAGCTGCTTTCTTTGAAAGTCTTCCCATCCTGTTGTGGGCTCCTGGAAAGCCCTAGAGGGCTATTAATATTCTTTTGTCTGGCCTCTTTATCAATGGTAAGAGCAGGACCCAGCCTATAATTCCAGGGCAGTACTGTTCATATTCTTCAAAGAACTCTAAGAACAAGGATCACAGCAGTAATAGGAGCAGGGTGAGGGAGGAGGCAAGAGTCAGATACAACTTTCAACCCAAGTCCAACGTGTAATTGTTGAAAAAGTGTCCTAGACTTGGCAGTCGGGAGATGTCTAATGCGATCTCTGCCATTAACATGCTGAGGACCTTGGGGGAAGTCACAAAATCTCTCTGGCTTCCTATGTCCTGTATTTGTAGCAAATGATTTCATTGGTCCCTTCCAGAAACAGATTAACATAGTCTCACTCTGTATCTCTCTTTCCCTTTGCCTTTACCTGATGCCAGAATACCTAACCCTTTTGAATAGCATAAATGCCCAGATTCTCAAATTCCCTATGTACTTTTTGCTAGAATTTATTTGCCTGAAAATCAGTCTGTAACCTGAAGATTTTCCTTCCTTGCTTTCCTTTTCACAATTGTTATTCCCTCCAAAGAGGAGAGAAAACAGAATGTAAAACATGTGGGTCAAAAACATTGTAGATTTAGCTCTTTCTCTTCAGTGAGGCAATCAATCAGCAGATGTAGAGATGTAGATCTTTGTGAGACCCTGATAGGCAAGACACCTTTGAGGTTGAGCCCAGTGACATCATTGAGAATGTCAAAGCCAAAATTCAAGACAGGGAGGGCATCCCACTGGGCCAGTGGCATCTGATTTTTGTGACTAAACTGCTGGAGAATAGCCACAGCCAGTGCACAATATCCAGAAAAATCCACCCTGAACTTAGTGTTTCGCCTATCAGGTAGCATTATTGAACCTGCCCAGAAATACACTTGGACAAGATGGTCTGTCCCAAGTGTTTTCCTTGCCTGTACCCCCGCACTGTCAAATGTTATAAGCCATACCAACAACCTGTATCTACAAGGGTGGCCTCCTACACAAGCTCCATGGCCCTGGGGTCTTAAAAAAAAGGATTATAGATTTAAACCTAAATATACCAGTAATTGCACTAAATGTAAATAGGCTAAATACTCTAGGTACAAATCAAAGATTGCCAATCTGTTTTCTCATTTAAAAAATGCTTAAGTAATGCTTTTAAGAGACATACCACAAAGATACAGCAAGGTCCAAGTAGAAGGATGGAAAAAGTATACCATGCAAACATTAACCAAAGAAAGTTGGTATAGCATACTGATATCAGACAAAGCAGACTTTAAGACAAGAAGCACCCCTAGAAATAAAGAAGGACATTTGATAATAATAAGTTGATCTAACAAGAAGATACAGAAATTTATAATCTTTATAATATATAAATTGACAGAACTGAAAGTTAACTATCTTGTAGGAGATTTTAAAGAAACTCTCACAGTAACAGAACAAAGAAAAAGGTAAGTGTCTAGATCTGAGCACATGATTAATTTTAACTGACATTCATAAAACACTGTATCCACAGTTGCACAATCACATTCCTTTCAAGTGCACATGAAAGAGTGAAGGGGATCAGGGGCCCTTGTTTCCAGAGAGCTCTCATCACTGAAAGCACATACGAAGAAGAAATAGTCTAATGAAGAGACACATTCTGGCAGGTGGGACTCATAGGTGTGTACATAGAATGCTAAGAGCATTACCATAGAAATTCACATATGGGAAACCAGGTAGGAGGTATTAAAAGAAGGCCTTCTTCCAATACAATGTGAGTCAAAAATTGGAAGGAGGAAATGGAGAAGGAGCAGTTCCCATCTTCTATAACTTTCTGGTTACATACTGTACTTACAGTAAATACCATAGGAATGCTCCTGTATCACACTATTCATTCCATAATGTTCATTCATGTATTTGGTAATGATTTAATGGATGCCTGCCTTGTGTCAGGTACCACGTGGGTGCTGAGCTATATGAGCAAACAAGACACAGGTCTCACTGTTATCAGTGCAGACAGGTACATAAGTGGAGAATTATGACCTGGTGAATTAAGTGCTACAGGACAAGTGAGAACAGAGTAACTATTAGAGCCAAATAAAAAGGAGTCCAGCTTGAGGAATGGGCAACTATGCATCTGGATTTAAAGATTCAAAAAACAAAACAAAGCAAAACAAAACAAAACAGGTGAGAGATAGGTGGAGAGAATCAGGAAAACATTTTTGGAGAATACTGTTTTTAGAATATCCAGTGTTTGATATAGAGATATAGTAAAGACATGGAGAGGCAGGGGGGCAACGGAAGCCCACAAACTGATAATGCAAAAATTCACCCCTGAAAAGAATAAAGTAGCTCTGTGATGCTGACCAGATGGAGGGGTGTATGAGAGAGTGAAGGAAAGTAAGGTACAAGAGGGGATGCTTCTGTACATAGGAAAC